GAGAGTTGGTGATGGATAGGGAGGCCTGGCGTGCTGTGGTTCATGGGGTCGCAAAGAGTCAGACACGACTGAGCGACTGAACTGAACTGAACTGAACCTGGGCATTACCAGGAATAGACATGCTTCTTCTTTCTAATCAGTGTAAAGATAAGCAGCCTCTCACATACCAAGGGAAGCATCGAACTGAAAGTTCCAGAGTGTTCTGGGACATTCTTCAGTCTTGTTTCACACTGGACACAGAAGAACATCTCTGGGAGGGGGAGAGCCCAGGAGAGGACTTAACCCATGAAAATTAGGATCCAAACACTGCCCCCCATGGTCTCTGACACCAGCCAACACTCAACCCCTGGGAGTGATGGGGAGAAACAACCCCACTTCCCTTCCTCACCACACCCAGGAACCAATCACTCACGGTCATTGGAACAGGCTCCCAGAAAGCAGGGGATTAGCAAGCTCTGTCCTTGTGAAGCTACAGTCTCTGGGCGATTATGAGAATCCAGAGTGATTTCCTTATCTGTGGCTACAGCTCAGTTCTCTGGTCTATTCAGCTCCATAAGTTTAGAAAGTATTTTACATACTTAGCAAGACCTTTCTCCCTGCAATTTAAGGTCCCTCTGGGAATCTGAAAAAAGAAGGAAAAGGCTAGAGCAATTTGCAAGTGCCGTTTCTCCACTTATTCTCAAATATGTATATGTTTAAGCTACAGCAGCTTAAAAGATGCAAGAAAATTGGAATATAAATTTAAGTGAATTTCTGGTATGCTCTAGAACCCGTGCTCCGCAACAAGACAAGCACCGCAATGAGGAGCCTGTGCACCTCAACTAAAAGTAGTCCCCACTCACAGCAGCAGCCAAAAAGAAGTGAATAAATAAAATTTTAAAAGCCCCATAGGTTTCCACCTTAAAAAAAAATTTTTTTAGGTAACTTCCAGCTCCAAAATTTATTACAGACAAATAGTTGGTTAAATCCAGGCCACAGATGTGTTTTATTCAGTCTCTAGTGTTTTATCACTCTCTTTCTTGAACCCTGAGAGGCCACTGTAGGGTTATTATTTGTCCTCATTTCGATACTGTTGTCTCAGGGGACAGGGTGGCCGAGGAGAGGGGGAGTGATGGGAAACAGCTGGTTAATGGAGCAGTCAGAACACATGACACTGAGAAAGTTTGCCATCCTGTACAGGGTCAGTGTGTGGAGTCCCAAAACAATCATAGCGAATATCACTGACCACGGATATCAAAACTAATATAACAATAATGAACAGATTCAAACATTGTGGGAATCACCAAAATAGGACAGAGACATGAAGTGGGCAAAATGTGGAAAAATGTGTCTGCAGATTTGCTGGACTCGGGGTTGCCACAGACCTTCAGTCTGTATAAAATGCAGTATCTGTGAAGCACAGTAAAGCAAAGTGCAACAAAAGGAGGTGTGCCTGCCTGTGTCGATGTGGGTATAGGTGCGCGTATGTGGGTGTGTGTATACACACTTTTAGCTGAAACATTTGAAAGCAAGTAGCAAACATGAAAAAGTTGACTTAAAACTCACCATCTAGGGTGAAACAGATCACCAGCCCAGGTTGGGTGCATGAGACAAGTGCTCGGGCCTGGTGCACTGNGCATCTGGTCCCATCACTTCATGGCAAATAGATGGCTGGAAACGGTGATAGACTTTATTTTCTTGGGCTCCAAAATCACTGCAGATGGTGACTGCAGCCATGAAATTAAAAGACGCTTACTCGTTGGAAATAAAGTTATGACAAACCTTGACAGCATATTAAAAAGCAGAGACATTACTTTGCCAACAAAGGTCCGTCAAGCTATGGATTTTCCATTAGTCATGTATGGATGTGAGAGTTGGACTATAAAGAAAGCTGAGCACTGAAGACTTGATGCTTTTGAACTGTGGTGATGGAGAAGACTCTTGAGAGTCCCTTGGACTGCAAAGAGATTCAACCAGTCCATCCTAAAGGAGACCTACCAAGGTGTTCATTGGTAGGATTGATGCAGAAGCTGAAGCTCCAATAGTTTGGCCACCTGATGGGAAGAACTGACTCTTTGGTAAAGACCCTGATGCTGGGAAAGATTGAGGGCAGGAGGAGAAGGGGACAACAGAGTATGAGATGGTTGGATGCCATCACCAGCTCAATGGACATGAGTTTGGGTAAACTCCAGGAGTTGGTGAAGGACAGAGAGGCCTGGCGTGCTGCAGTCCTTGGGGTCGCAAAGAGTTGGACACAACTGAGTGACTGAACTGAACTGAGCAAGCATGACTTTTCACTCCTAAATACTCCATCTCCTAAAGCAACTTATCCTTAAAGCAACTTATCCTAAAGCAACCACACTATCCTTACCATACCAAAGAGAGCAGACAACTCGGCCACATCATGTAATGTTCACATTTCCCCAGTGGCCCCCTGTGGTTGTTATTTAGTCACTCAGTCATGTCCAACTCTTTGCGACCCCATGGACTGCAGCATGCCAGGCTCCTCTGTCCTTCAGTGTTTCCCGGTGTTTGCTCAGATTCATGTCCATTGAGTCAGTGATGCCATCCAACCATCTCATCCTCTGTTGTCCCCTTCTATTCCTGCCCTTAATCTTTCCCAGCATCAGAGTCTTCTTCAGTGAGTCAGCTCTTCACATCACGTGGCTAAAGTATTGGAGCTTCAGTGTTAGCATCAGTCCTTCCAATGAATGTTCAGGATTGATGCCCCTTAGGATCGACTGGTTTAAAGCTGAATTGTGGAAGTTCAGATCCATGCAAGTTTCACACACAGCTTGGGAAGGGACCCACAAACAGCCTGATGGTTTGTGTGTGGGGTCTGGCTGCGTCCACACCACCCCGCTGACTGTGAAGACTTGCTGTGTTAGCCCCAGGACACCCCCAGGCCTGATGGACTTGTGGTTTGGGGTTCTCAGAAAAGCCATGAATTCTGCCAGAACTCTTAGAAATGTCAAAAAAGAAAAAGAAAAAAAAGTAACAACACTGCCTAATTTATATATACAACAACTACATTTCCTAAACATTTTTTCATGTAGTAATTTTCACAGCTATCTGGTGAGGTCAGCAACATTCATCTCATTTTACTGATGCAAGTGGCTTCCCAGAGACAGATAGACAGTGGCCAGCACAAGGCAGCGTGTGGACATTGGGCAGTGTTTGTGCACCGGAGTCCCATGATCACTAAGAGGCTAGAGAAAGAACTTTCCAGATGGGGCCTTGGCCTGCTGTGCCTGGGTCACCCAGACAGCCCACGAACAAGCACCCAAGGAAGACAGTGCTCAGAGGGGCCAGGAGTGCCCACCGGGCCCCAGGGCGTCAAGGGAAGGACGCGAGTGCTTCAGGAGGATGGTTAATCCTTACATAGCCCTGACGGTTGGCAGGTCCACACTTCTCTGCTGCATCAGAGTGGAGGCCAAAGGGAGGGCTGGAGAGAGAATGGAAAAAAAAAAGGAAAAGAAAGAGAGAACGGAATAGCCAGAAGCAAGTGACCTCCCACCTGCTCCACAGCTTCACCTTGATTCCGGACAGACAGCCAAGTCTAGGTTCAGAAAGAAAATTCAAAGGCACTCTTCCCAAAGCTCTCCAGATTACAAAAACATTAACCTTTACAAGCCATTTGGGGTCAGGCTCAGTGCATTTAATTAAAGACATATTGCTTTGCTCAAGGAGAATGTAGGATTTGTAACATGAAACTAAAACACGGGAAAATCAGGTTTTAAAAAAAAAGAAATAGCCACTGCCCTGGTGGCTCAGTGGTAAAGAATCTACCTGTCGAGGCAGGAGACAGAGGTTCAATACCTGGTTCAGGAATATCTCACACGCCGCGGAGCAACCAAGACCGCGGTCCCGCAGCTACTGAACCTGAGTTCTATGGCCCGTGCTCCACGGGAAAGTCACCCCAGTGAGAAGCCTGCACATCACAGCCAGAGAGAAGCCAGCGCAGCAACAAAGACCCCCACAGCCAAAAGTAAATACATAAATATAAACAAACAAACCACACAAAAAGCCCCCAGCAGAAATCAGTAAAGACTTACCCTGTTCTCTGTCCCATAAATGAAAAAAAAAAGAGAGAGAGTGAGAGGAAAGAGCAACTTTCCCAGTGGTTTAGCTATAAATTTTGTGGTAAATAGGGCAACTATTAAATTAATTCTGTGTAATAGTAAAGTGATTAGCTTTGCAAAAAATCCTCGCCTGCAGTGTCCTCCCCGTTCCAGCCCTCGGTGGCCCAGTTTCCAGCCGTTTCCACCTGATGTCTGGGCACGGCTGGGCGCGCTCCGGCAAAGTTGGCTGGCAGACACGCCTGTGAGTCTCAATTAGGCAGGAATTTTAGGAGCAACAAAAATTATGGGAGGAACGTGGCTTCATCAGTCATTTTCCTGCAGGAACAGTGGCAATTTGAAGAGTTTTAGCACTTTGAAGGTCAAGATTAAAAACCAAGTAATTTATTACCACTGATTTAGAGATTAACATTGTGCCAATTAATCAATTACTCAATGTGACGAATTGACAATTAATTGACATTTCAGTTCCAATCTGGCAAAGCTTTCTGATTTCCTTAGTGAATAATACGAAATCGCTAAATTGAAAGGTTATGAGGATTTCTTCCAAGAGCAAAATGAAAAGGAATTAAAAAAAGGATACATAAGAGTAATCGTTCACAAAATTTTAATATAGGAAATATAGGCCATTGTTTCACCAGTGAGCAAACCGAAATCACTGAGTGAGCGGGTTTAGGCAAAACCAGGCCTTTTATTGTTGATTCAGGAAGGTTTGCCCTAGGCGTTTTGTTCTCCTGCTTTTGCAAAAACTCCTATTGCCTTGAGCACTGAAGCTTGAAGCTTTGCCGGCCTCAAAGCCTTCAACAGCAGTGCAGTTCACAAACAAAGGGTGTTGTAAGCGGCCGGCTGGGTCGGTTTTAGGTCACCCCTCTGAACAGCCCTCACCGTGTTCCCTGCAGTCAGGGCCAGATCCAAGGTCAGGACAACCACACACCAGCTGTCCAGCCAAGACCACACCGCTCCCTCTGGGGCGGAGGGCAACGTGGCCTGTGCTGGCCTGGGAAGTCAGCCGATCACAGTGAGGGGTCAGACCGGAGGACGGCTCTGAACGCCAGGAGCAAAGAGACACCCGGATGCCCAGCACACAGGCGGGCCCGTCCGAGAAGGTCAGGTGAGGAAGCAGGGGCAGGGACGCGCTTGAAGTTGGAAAAGCCTGCCATCTTCCAGGCTCCCAGGCCCCTCCTGCCCCTGGCTGCACTTGTCCCCGGGCCTGCCTGGCAGGGACTGGCTGACCTCTTGGGCTCTGACCTTGACCTCTTCCCGGAGCCTCTCCCACAGCTTCTCCGTCCTGTATTCCCAGCGCAGCCCAGACCCGTTTCACTCTCTCGCAGGAAGATGACTCCCTGAGGGGCATCGTCCTCCGCAACCGAAGGGGAAGCGTGGCTGCCACTGTGGAAGCAAGCCGGCCGGACAAGCAGCGGCCCAGACCCAAAGCTTAATTAGGTAAAGGGACCTCTGCAGTGAAAACGACGTTCCTGATAGAAACAGCTGGAAAATAAAGTGACGAGAGACCTGTTTTAGTGTGTGCTTCAGTTAAGAGAGACCCTCCCATCCTCACAGCGATTGTCTGAGACCCCAAGTGAAGCCCCAGCTGTCAGGGTCCAGCGAGCCATCCCCACCCCCACCCCTCACTCCCCGGGCACTCTGACTTTTTAAGGCTCTCGCCTTTCCTTTGATTCGCTCAGAAAAGCCAGTCAGGTTGCTGGACTGAGGGCTCAGAGAGGGAAGGATGATGCTTGGAGGTTGCAGAATGTGCTTCGTGGTGGGTGGACACAGCCTGGGCATAAGGACACCCACAGCGTGTTGTCTGAGGTCTCCTGCTCTTTCTCTCACTGTCTGCTGGATCCACAGACTGCCCTCAGGCCAGGCAGCTTCCGGTGAAGGCAGAGGTGTGGGGGGCGGGGCCTGTATCCCCCTTAACGCGACGATCAGGACTGGAAACTGAGGCTGAGTCTGGGGTGAAAGATGCTGGGAAAGGAGAGAAGCCCCAGCAGAAGTGATGGTCAAGGACTCAGGAGGTCAGTGGTTGCCAGGCAAGCTCAGGATCAAGAGCAGTCAACACAGGGGGCCATGAGAGTGTTAAGTGTTAGTTGCTAAGTCGTGTCCGACTCTTTGTGACCCCATGGACTACAGCCCACCAGGATCCTCTGTCCACGGGATACTCCAGGCAAGAGTACTGGAGTGGGTTGCCATTCCCGTCTCCAGCAGATCTTCCTGACCCAGGGACTAAATCCAGGTGTCCCGCATGTCAGATGGATTCTTTACCGTCTGAGACACCAGAGCCTGTGAGAGTCAAGTTTATAGCAGAGAGGAGGCTGGCCCCTGGCAGATACTCATCCATATCCAAGCCTACAGGGTGACCACGGCTCACCCTGCCCAAGTCACCCTGATGAGGTCCTGTATCGCTGGGAAGGCAACCAGCTGCAAGTATGAAACCAGTCCGACAGTGGCCCCCATGTCTGGGGACTCGGCCTCACATTGTAAGAAGTCCCAAGGTGGGTGATCCACATAGGTGCAGCAGCTCAAAAACACTGCCAGAGACTCCATCTCTCTCTGCTCCATCCTGCCTGGTATGTGAGCTTCCAGACTCAGACTTATCACCCAATGGTTTCGAGGTGCAGGCTGCCTATGTGTCTGCCCTCCTGTCAGGCAGGGAAAAGGGAAGGGAAGAGAAGAAAAGGGAAAGAAAGAGAAGGAAGGAGTGCTTCCTGTGTCTGGTTAGCTGAACTTTCCCAGAAATCGTGCTCATACATCTCACTGATTAGAACTGTGTCACATGGTCACCTGTACTTTCCCAGAAGTCACAGCACACATCTCCTTACATCTCATTGGTCAGAACTGTGTCACATGGTCACCTGTACTTTCCCAGAAGTCACACGCACACATCTCCTTACATCTCATTGGTCAGAACTGTGTCACATGGTCACCTGCACTTTCCCAGAAGTCACACCCACACATCTCCTTACATCTCATTGGTTAGAACTATGTCACATGGTCACCTGCACTTTCCCAGAAGTCACACCCACACAGCTCCTTACATCTCATTGGTTAGAACTATGTCACATGGCCACATAAACTTTCCCAGCAGCCTCCTCCATACCTCTATTCACATCCCATTGGTCAGAACTGTGTCACATGGCCACCACAGTTTCAAGAGAGGTTTTGGAGCACTAGTGTTTTTGTTGGACACATTTCCCCTCCTCCGAATACGGAGTTCTTTTTTAAAAAATTAATTAATTAATTTGGCTGCATCAGGTCTTGGGTATGGTATTTGGGCCTATCTCTAGTTGTGGTGTGGACTCAGTTGTCCTGAGACAAATGGGATCTCAGTTCCCCGACCAGGGATTGAACCTGTGTCGCTTGCATTGGAAGGTGGATTTTTCACCACTGGACCACCAGGGAAGTCCTTCAGAGTTCTTTTGTGAGTAAAGACCCCAGCCTTAAGTGGACGTGTCCAGCTGGTATTAAAGAGTCTGGTAAAAACCTGGGGAAGGAGAAGGTCAGTTGGGTAGAGAAGAGGCACGCACACACAGCATGTGGTATGTCACCACAGGGCCTCTGTTCAGGGTATGAAAGATCTCAGTCATGCCCACCACGGACCGTGACCTGGAAATTATGTCTCCACGGGGACACTTAGCTTCTGGACCAAATTGTTCTTTAAGCAAATTAGAGATTGAGGCCAATTGCATCATTTCTCTTAATTAGCAAACCAATCTCTTTCAGAGGCTGAGAGTCCAAAAATGAAATCCGTCATCCCAAGTTCTCTGTCAGCTCACTCGCCAAGCAAAAAGGGAGAGGTATGGATGTGTTGCACCCTCCCAGCCCACCAGCGAAGACGGAGAGCAGAGGAGAGCATTAGCATTTAAGTGGCCTGTTAATGTCTGGAAGCCTAAACAGTCACAGAACAGCAATAAAGGAGCTCTTCAAATGTTGCTGGAGAATGTCCATAAAGAGGATATAATGAAAAGGACTGCCCAAATGTGCAAGGATAATATAGTTAATGTATTACTTCTTTTATTATTTTATCATCTTTCATTAATTGCTGGCAGCATGCCTGCAGAAGTTGGTTCCATGGAAAGGGCTTTTAGTTAAATGTCTTAAATGAAACGACCACTTAGAACCTGCGAACAAGGTTGAACCAAGGTTCACTTGACTTCAGTAAATCTTGTCTGAAGGGTGCAGGGGAGGGAGGAAAGGGATTCATTCTGGGACAACCTTACAGTGCTCGTCTTTAGCTGCCCCACAGCTGCTTGGAGCTGACTGTCTCAAATTTGGAAGCACGAAGGTGTGATTTTATTTTTGGAAGAAGGCCTTGTCTACCATCTGCTGCCACTAATCTGCTGTGTGACCCTGAAGAAGTGACTTGCAGTCTCTCAACCTCAATTTCCTCACTCTGCAAAAACTTTCCCTGACTCCAAGTTTATTACCTAGATATTTCAGGGTAACCCGGTCATATATTGGGTTTCTCAGGTGGCACTAGTGGTAAAGAACCTGCCTGCCAACTCAGGAGTCTCAGGAGGTACGAATTTGATCCCTGGGTCAGGAAGATCCCCTGGAGGAGGGCATGGCAACCCTCCCTAGTATTCTTGCCTAGAGAATCCCATGGACAGAGGAGCCTGGTGGACTTCAGTCCATAGGGTCCCAAAGAGTTGGACACAACAGAAGTGACTTAGCACCAGGTCATATATTAATTAGTGGAGAGGGTGGTGAGGTTGAGGAGAGGAGTGTAACCCAAAATCAAAAGATGGCCCCAGAAAGGGATACCCGCTGCTCAGGACAGATCTGGGGCCCCCAGACATGTGAGCGTGCACCCCTCCTTAAAGCCCCAGCTTCCTTCATGGTGCCAGGTGCCCCACCACCTCCCTGCAGACAGCAGAGCGCCGAGGGATGAGGCGTCCCCAGGGCCAAGGTGCTCCTGCCCGATAGGCCTCCTTTTCCTGACCGTCTGGGGGAAAAAGTATGAAAATGCCACCAACTCCTGATTTCAGCAGCTTAGCTCTCCCGTCTTCTTGAGCATCTCAGATACAGCTGCCCCTCACTCGAAGCTAGCATTTCTGAAGCCCGGCCTGAGTGCCTCGCACCACGAGGGCAATCACACAAGCCGTGGCTGCCCAGATGCGGCCTCAGGAGGCGAAGGGAGGGGCAGGGCTGGGCTGCTTCTGGGACTGACTTTCCCAGGCTTGACCTCAGGTCAGCTGACCATTTCCACTCAAGGGTCCCATTTGTACCCCCAAACCACCAGGTCCCAAGCTGAATAAATCAACTTTCTGGTAAAGGACCCCTTCTGCAGACATTCCAGCCTCTTTTCAGTGGCTCTGTAGCTTTCCTCTCTAGCCCTTTGTGTGGCCCCAACCTCTGGCCTGTGATCAACCCCAGTCCCATCTGGGCGCAAAGCTACCCGACTGTAAGCTAGTATAGACATGGCCAAGTTTTGATGACAATAGGTGCATAACAATTCATGAAATTTAACTGGAATGAATGACTCCCTCCTGGGTTAGACTCTGCCCTTGTACCACTTCCATCCCCTCACACTAAGTCAAGGTCTTGGTAGAAGAGACTGCATCCTTCCCAGTCACTGTTTATCTTTTTGTCTCATTTTATTCCGTTAATAACAGTTTTGCTATCTGAAATCATCTTGTGTATTTATCGACTTGCACACCACGTGTCTTCCCCAAGTAGAGTATAAATTTCATGACAGCAGAGACCTTGTCTGTCCTGCCCCTCGCTGTGTTCGCAGGGCCAAGCGTGGGGCCAGGAGGATCACAGGAGCTCGATAAGCACTTGCTGAGTTAATGGACTCATCCCGTATCCTTTAATATTCCTCCTCAATCTGCACTGCTCACCACTGCCAAGTCTGACTTCCCACTTGTCGCCCGCTGCTTAGACGCCTGCGGTGTCCCCCCACGGCCAGGGGACAGGGGCTCCAGCTCAGCCTTCCTCACCACCCACGTGACCCCTCCAAGCTGACTTTCCACCTAAGCTTCTCACGCACACGGCCAAACCCTCCAGGAAGTACACATGCCTGGCCCAGTCCCACGTGTCCTGGTTAGAACTCTTAGTGGCAAGTAATAGAAACCACCTGGAGCTGATTCAGAAGGTGATAGAGTTTCAGTTGTGTCAGATGAAAGGAGTCAGGGAGATGGAAGGGGCGATGGATGCACAGCACTGTGAAGGGACGGACTGTCACTGAACTGTCACTTACAAATGCTTAAGATGGTCAGTTTTATGTTACGCATACTCTGGCCACCTGATGCAAAGAATCGACCCACTGGAGAAGACCCTGATGCTGGAAAAGATTGAGGGCAGGAGGAGAAGGGGACGACAGAGGACGAGATGACTGGATAGGATCTCTGACTCAATGGACTTGAGTCTGAACAAACTCCAGTACTGAAGAACGGGGAGGCCTGGCGTGCTGCGGTCCAGGAGGTCACAAAGAGCTGGACGTGATTTAGCAACTGAGCAACAACAATCTAAAAACAAAGCAGGGTAGGATTTAATATGATGATAATAAGGTTGTAGTGGTGCCTGAGTTAACTGTGGAGAGAGAAGCCTGTCCTGGCAGGAATGAAACACCTGGGCCTCCACACACCCCTCTTCTGCTCCCTTCTCTGGGTTGGTTTCGGTCACTCAGTTCCCGTAACAGCACCGAGACAGCCCAGGCTCAAGGCTCAACCTGTGAGGACTGACAGCTGCTGAGTCTCGATCCCCTGTCTCTGGAGCAGAGAACCTGCATGGCCCAGGCTGGGTGAAGGTTCAGCTGCCCCGAAGTCAGCAGTGGTACACAGAGGTAGCTCTGGGGTCCTCCTCTGGGACCTTGCTTTTAGAGAGATGGCCATTCTCCATGAGTGGAGATCATTACGAAAAGGGAGAAAACCCCACAGGGGCTCATGCCTCACCTTAGATTCAACTCAGGGAAGATTTTCTGGAGGAAGCAGAATTTAATCTAAAATCTTAAAAATAAAAAGGCAGGATTTGAGCAGAAACAGAACAGAGAGAGGAATTCTATGCTGGGACTGGTGTGCAGAAGCCTTGAGATGGTGAATCAGTGAGTTTGACCGCAAAGGATAGAAAGTCCAGAATAATGGTGCCCTCTACCTCTTGATTCAAGAGGATGCTTGAGTTCCAGCCATCGTGTCTATATTCCAGGAAGAAGGATGAGGCAAGGGTCCCGTCTCTTGCATTAAGTGTCCACTCCAGACACCTCTTCTGCTTATAAAGCACTGACTAGAACCTAGTCACACAACCACTAGATGTAGGGAAGGCTGAAAAAGGCCATCTTTATTCTGGGTGGATATATATTAATAGGGAGCTAAGAGTCAGGGATTCTATTGTCAGAGAAGAGACACAGATCCTGGGGGTAGTCTAGCAGCCTCCACTGAAGATGGGCTAGAGCATCACTCTTTCCAGGAAATGGGAAAGCATGGCATGAGGAATATAAAGATTGAGGAGGGGAGTCTGATTGACTTTAGAAGGTTGTCCACAGCTTTTAGTTCCTGCTTATTTATCACTGTCCATGTGTGTCCTTGCATGCTCAGTTGTGTCCAAGTCTCTGCGACCACATGACTGTGGCCCTCCAGGTTTCTCTGTCCGTGGGATTCTCCAGGCAAGAATACTGGAGTGGGTTGCATTCCCTCTTCCAGGGAATCTTCCAGACCCAAGGATTGAACCTTCATCTCCTGCATCTCCTGCATTGGTGGCAGATTCTATACCACTGTACCACCTTGGAAACCCCTCTTTGTCCATGGTTCCAGCCTATTTTTTAAAAATTACTTATTTATTTGGCTGTGCTGAGTCTTAGTTTCAGCATATGGGATCCAGCTCCCTGATCGGGGATCGAACCCAGGACCCCTGCATTGGGAGCTCAGAGTCTCAGCCACTGGACCACCAGGGAAGTCCCAGGCCCAGCCTATCTTTTGAAAACCCTTAATTTATCAATAATTGTAGAGTCACAGGAAGTTTCAAAGAAATGTCCAGGAAGGTCCCATGCACCCTTCACTATCATCCCCCACCCCCTATGAGCATCATCTGTCACTGTGGTACACTGTCAAAGCCAGAAACAAAAACTCATGTGTGTGTCTCTTCTGTGTGATTTATCACATGTGTAGCCTCAAGCAGTCACCACAATCAAGCTACTGAACTGAATCATCACCACAGACCCCTTTATCGTCTCCTCCTTGTCCCTAACTCCTGGCAACAACTAATCTGATAATTACATTATCTTACTCAAGCCGCATGCCTCCTTACAGGCAGAATAATTTCCTTGAGGCTCATCCAAGTTGTTGTGTGTATTAGTGCTGGTTCCAATTTGTGGCTGAATCCTGTGGCCTAGGATGGCTATGCCTGTCAGTTTAGCCATTCACCTTCTGAAGGGCACGCAGGAAGTTTCCTGTTTGGGGCTAATACAAATAAAGTTGCTATGAATATTTGTGTACAGGTTTCTATGTGAAAATAGATTTTCATTTCTCTGGAATATATGGATTATTGCTGGGTTGCAGGAGAAGTCCATTTCTAATTTTTAAAGAAATCGCCAAACTATGTTCACAGTGGCTGGACCATTGTGCATCCCCATCAGAAACGTACAAATGACCTAGTTTCTCTGCATCTCTGGCAGCATTTGGTTTTATCACAACTCTTAATTTTGACGGATGTGTAGTGACATCTCGTGTGGTTTCCATTTCCATGTCTCTGATGACCAACTTTTCATGTACTTGTTCGCTGCCTCTACGTCAAATATCACCATGAAACATGCATGTCCCCTTCCTTCAGGAGACTGACGATTTCTTCTTTGGAATGACTGAATGAAAGAGGCTTCTTATATAAGGACGCGGGTGCAGGCAGACGGGGGAGGGGGTGGGCTCTGGTGGAGCTCCCACGCTGGCTCCAGGCGGAAGGTGGCCACATCTTGTCTATGGTCAAGTACCCAGGGGTTCACCAAACTAGAGGCCAGTTTGCCACCT